CCCCCCCCCCCCCCCCCCCCCCCTCTCTCTCTCTCTCTCTCTCATGGCCAAAGGGAAACCGGAGACAAATGACGTCTCCTCCGGTCAACCCCAAGTACCTATTCCGGCTTTCGATCCTCCTCAAAAACCCAAAAGAAACAAGTATGCTTTAGCTTGTTCTATCTTAGCCTCAATGACCTCCATCTTACTTGGATACGGTAAGAATTTTTCTGTATATGCAGAGAGTATGATATGTAGTGTCTTTGTTGCTTAATATAACGTCGGTCATTTGTCAATAATATATAGCCAACGTACTTTCGTGATTAATGCGTTTTGTTATGAATACATGCATAAATTGAAGTTGTTTTTATGGATATCACGCAGATATTGGAGTGATGAGTGGAGCAATTATTTACATCAAGAAAGACCTTAACATAACCGACGTCCAAAAGGAGGTCATAATGGGCATACTTAACGTCTATTCGCTTCTTGGCTCAGCCGCCGCCGGCCGTACCTCTGATTGGATCGGTCGCCGGTACACCATAGTATTTGCCGGAGCAATTTTCTTCGTCGGAGCTCTCTTGATGGGTTTCGCCACCAACTATGCTTTCCTAATGGTGGGTAGGTTCGTGGCCGGCATAGGAGTTGGATATGCCCTTATGATTGCTCCGGTGTACACCGCTGAGGTTGCTCCGGCGTCCACACGTGGCTTCCTCACTTCTTTCCCGGAAGTTTTCATCAATTTTGGTATGTTTAGATTTTAATTATTTATGGGCCCTTTGAGTTTTACGTCAGGTTTTGTCTTTTTCATGTACATAAATCTCCAGCAAGAAAAGTAACATGATTGGTGCTCGAAAAACTCAAAGGAGCCAGGACATACAAGTTTTTTCATAATTTTGTTTATACTAATTCTACACGACACAAATACAGATAAGAAAAGATTTTAAAGCAATCAATAACCTACCTTCTAATTGATTAATTCTATTCTTTCTGTATATATTAACAGAAGGAAAAAATATATTTTTATCAATAAATTAATATACTTTAGTTTGAAAAATCTTGGACGTGGGTCCAGTGTCATGCTACAACTTGCGTGGAAACATGCTCTCATTTCCTACCCATATCCTGACCTAAAATGACGAATAACTGATGCCATCCCACAGG